ATATATATATATATATATATATATATATATATATATATATATATATATATGTATATATATATAGTCTTTACATATATTTGGAGTGGAATGAAAATTCCTAATATGCAGTACAAAAAAAATCATGACAACTTCTCGAACAGGTGGACAGCAAGGGAGGTCAACCGAAAACAAGGGGGGGAAAAAATCTGAGAAAAAAACAAAATAAGAAAAAAATAAAACAGCATCAGTGCATCCAATATAGACTTAATCAATTCAGTGGTGCACTTATCAACTTGAGCTGCAAGACATGAGATTGACAGAGCAGCTCCGACAGAGTTTGATTTTTCTGTTGCAGCTACTGTGCTGTGAAATTAGATTCACAGTCTCCAGCAGCAGAACCCCCCTTCCCTTTCAAACACACACACTCACGCACACACACACACACACACACACGCAAAAACGAACGTACACTCTCCATCATTAAGCCTCAGTCCGCCGACCTGCTTCCCCTTCTCTGTGTGTTAAGGGTGTTATTATATATCAGTCAAAAGTCATAGATGAAGAGCATCTGGCCTGGTCTGCGATATTGATTCAGGGCTTATATAGTCTGGGCATCCTTTGGCTATTTCAGAAGATGTGATAGGCTGATAAGCTCCTACAAAAACACAGCCTTCAATGTGTTAGCACCAGCTGCCCACATATTGAGGAGGATTATTGATATGGCTAACAGTACTTGGCACGGTGTTACCAGACACTACACTTAATGAATCACTATTGATTTCTCCACAGATGCCTGCGTTGTAAAGCACAATCTTCTTTCTTCTGGGGCGATAAATTGCTAAATCATTTTTCCAGACTCCTGATCCGCTATAGAGACCCAGGTACCCCCCTATTATAAGGTCATTTCATTTGACCCCAGGATTGGGAGTGGGAGTGGATTACCCAAAATGATGAGCTGGGGTTTGCTTCTGACCCCCACCCCAGCGCTGGTGCCTGCCGCCACCTCCACGCGGTACTGCACTCCAGCCTGAAGACCCCCGACGACGACTGAACGGATGGTGGCGTCCACAGACTTGTTGACGTGAAGGCGTGTATCGTTGGCCAAACACCAGATCTGACACGGACAGACGCAGCCGACAGAATTCAGTGTAATGTTTCGTTACACATGACTGAGAAAAGCGAGTCTGGGTGGGGAGGGGGGAGCTGCGCCTACCTTGTACTCCTGGATGATGCCGTTCTGCTGGTCGGAGGGAGGGGGGTCCCATGACACGCTGATGGATGTGCTGTTATGGCTCCCCACCGTCAACACCGCCACTTGCTGTGGAGGGGCACTGGGAGCTAAAGGGTTCAGAGTGGGGGATCAGTGTGAGTTACAGCATCTAGCAAACATATTCACAACCCTTTTATCTAACTGCAATATATTTCATTGGAATTTTATGAATATCTGCAACACCTCCAGAGTTACAACCGGAGTCCTGGACGCTTCTCTGTTTAATGCATCTTATTTAGGGGTAAATAGAGCACATGTGGATCAATGAGGAGCCTTTTACATTTTAACTTGTAAAAAAACAAGAATAGTCATTTTCATCTTCTGTTGTGAAGATTCAGTGAAATTATTCCATGACAAGAAAGGAACTAATATTTAAAACCTGAACTTATTATATCTATATTTAAAAAACAAGCAAACAAAAAACATTAGTTGGTTCTTTAATATTTTCAGTCAAAGGGATAAAGAGGTCCAAAGAGCAACTTCCATATAAAAACCAGTTTTAAGAAAAAAACGCAAGGAAATAACTTATTGATAATAAAAAAGGAAGCAAGGTCTTGGATATTACTTATCATGTTAAAGCAGAAATTGTCTCACACTCTGCCCCAATTCATAATCATACAGTTAGTACCACAACAAGGTACTTTCAAAGATAGCCTGGCAGATGGGCTCTAAAACAATTCATCTCACAGAGTAGAAGATTCCAATATCTTAATGGCATCCTGAGTGACACAGGCCAAGTGTTTGAGGTCCAAAATGCGCTTTTCTTAATTGCAAAAATGACAGCCATTCCAAGTAGATCAGCAAGTTTAGATATGAACACACACACCCCATGCCAAGAAAAAGATGAGATGGTTCATCGCCACAAATATGGAGAGTCCTATGGGGAAAACATTCTCTTATTAATAAGTTTGGCTTCTTTCTTTCTTTTTTTTGCTTTTCTTTTTTTTTTTCTTTAAAGCAACAAATTAGCCCAGTAACCTATTTGAAGATTTGAAGAGATCAAAGATTTAGAGGGAAAACAGGTGGGAGAGAGGCAAGCACGGGGTTTGCACAGCTAAACAAATCATCTCCTCTTGCTGAAAAAAGGGCAGTTCCAGGCACATAAGAGTAGTTTCTCATAATTTCCATTAAAGTAGCGTTATGTTCTGTCTGAGAGGATAAGAGAACTACTCTGACCCCGATTAAGAGGCAGTAAAATAAGAACTCTTTCTGCACCGTATCGAGATAGCGTGCAAGGCTGGCACTTTTAAAGCTGCGTGGAGAGGCCAGAGCAGGTGATGCATTATCTTGGCCAGGCTGCAGATGTGAGTCCATATCCACAGATGGACTTGCATCTGAAAATGAGCAGGTAGGAAGCACAAACAAGTATCTTTCAGAGGAAACATTAAGTCCTGTAGGGCTTGGATTAGGCATGAGAGCTCAGCATCTGGCTCTGCTCGTAATGCAATACCGACCTGATTTAGTTAGCTTGTACTTAAAGAGAAGGTTCTGACAGACATAGCATCCCTGCAGAGTATTTGGCGGCATGGCAATAAATTCGCCCTCATCACAAGATATCATCTAATACTTTTACCGAAATATTTCAAACTACTTTGTTGCATTTATACATTTAGTTGTTCTTGTTGGAGAGACTTACTAGGACAACTACGCAAATGGACTCAGTCTTGTACAATATAGCTGTCTACACTCATCACATAAACAAGGTATTCCTTTAATGTATTGTTGTTTACGATATAGCCTTTAAAAAAGTAGGTGGTGCCCTTACAATTGTATTTCTGTATTTACATTTTAAAGTTTTCTTTTTCCACATTTTTATGAAGGATGTGTCCAATTTCATTATCCATGCCCATGCCTGATTACTGCTTGCTCTGTAGAAGCAAGAAATCACTTCAATAGATCTTATTTGGCAGCAGAATGCAGGCTGAAGCATCTCAAAAAGCCAGACGCCATGCTGCATTCAATAAGAAACAAAGTCGCTGACATCTACAGTCTGAAATGCCATTTCTGAGACTTTGAGACTACAGCAAATCACATTCAGTCACATTATTTGTAAGAGAAATAAAAATGCGACAGTGGTAAGCCCGTGGAGGAGATGCTAGCCAACCAACAATTACTCCAAAACATAGCATCTCCAGGAAATTGCAAGGTCAAAAAGAACATATAGATCTGTCGCACGTTTGCAAAAAAAAAAAAAAAGTTTTAAGAACAAAACATCTTGATAATTGCCAAGACTTTGAGAAAAAAAATCAGTGGAACAAGTTTAGAGGTAGTTTGATGATCTTCGGTTGATTTGCTCCTTCAAACTTGGACATTTTGAAATGTGGAGATGATAGTTGTTCCTGCCAAGGGTTTGATCACAAGTTTTTATATTAAGGAAACAATTATTTTCTACAACAGCTTAGTCAGTGATTTTCAGATCGTAAAGATTTACGTAAGCATTTAACTGTGACAGAAAAGAAAAAGAAAAAAACAAAGCAAGAAAACTAACCCTTAGTTACCACTTACCACTCCCACAATAATCCAAATTCATTCAATTGATACTTTTCTGCAGCACTGTAGTTAAATAACTGAATACAAAATGATGGGTGTGCTGCTATGTTTTTGGCATTGGTACACGCAATGTTCAAAATATTACAAATTTATCATTATTCTTTAAGCAAAAAAATTATACTCCTATATATATAAAAAAAGTAATCAGACTATTTGCTCAGACGTGCAATCTGTTCCACTCTGTAGTTCAAAGAAAATGAGATCATGCCATATAAGGGATTTAACATAGGACTACTTGTATTTCTAATTATCAATGAAAATGCACCATTAGGCAAATCCTTTCCCTCCGTGCTTTCAGATTTCATTTCAGATAACCTGCCTCAAGAAGATGGAGGTTTTCCAGTCACGTAAAAGCGCTCTGCATTAGAAGACAGGAAGCATTAAGTATAGTCCTGAAACCCTTAGAGGTATGAGGAGACTCCTTCAAGATGAATAATGGCTACAATACCAGTAATGACTCAAGATAACATTACTAGAAATGATCACAACAGCGCAAAATGTCAAAGTGCATCTTTCTTGACTGCATGTATCAGGCTGATAACCAGTGTAGCTGTTGGCTTATTTGAAAGAAGTCATGCGTTTAAGAGACCATTTTTTATTTACTCAGCTGTGCAGTTAAACTAAAGCCTCTGAAGCTGCTTAACGTTCTGATGTACAGGGCATGGGGCAGTTGGCTTAATGGGTTTTGGGGAAAAAAATTTGCAAACTAATTGTTAGTTTGCAGGTACGAGCAATCCGTACTTTACAAGGGGGCTGGTAAATGTATTTCTATAAGATTTATTCCATGTCTTTCCTCTTGCAACATAAAGAACAAAACCCAAATTTTAAACAATTATCTGTCATTATCTTCTTCTGAGCTACAGGTGACTCTTTCCCTAGTGCATTATTATTTCTTTTAATTTGTCACTGACAGTGTTGGAAAGCCTGAGGCTCCTATAGATGACAGTGATGGGGGGGAAAAAAAGCCTGACCAACAATTCACTTAAGTGCTTTAAAGATCAATGAAGCTAGCAAACATTTTCCCTTTTATCATTTCATTAGGTATCACAGCCCAGGAGTAGGGATTTTTTATTTTATTTATTACCCTGAGACATAATCAGATTTTGCAAAAGGAGAGCCAAGCTGCCAATGTGTCTTTGAAGCATAACAAGTGTCTTTTACTGATATTTCTGCAGAACTCTGCTATACACATCTTGGGCTCTGGATAATGGGTGGATCAATCCTTTGCTTCCAGTACCACACCACCTCACTCCCAGTATCTCAAGTAAATACAGCATGTGTCCCAGTGGGAAGAAAACCTCCAGTGATCCTGTGTGGCCATTTTAATTGGGCCCCAGTGAGGTGAGGCTTTCTTTCTGCATCAGTTGTTGGTATAGTTTTAGCTCGCCTTTCTTCTGGGAAGGCCTTGTGATCTTTTCACGGTCAAACACAGACACACCGGACAAATATCAATGATCTCGTCCCCAGCTTCGTCAAAGTGCAAACCGCTTCTGCTGGAGTCCAAGTGACATACCTGATCGCAGAGAACTGAAGTTTCCTTTGAGTCACTCGGAGGTAAAAGGGGTCATGTGAATGAGTCACGATAATTCATTCTTGTCCTTGGGGAGAATCGTTTGCAAGAGAGGCGCTGGCTATATCTGTGTACTAAGGATGCTGTACATCCAATTATATTAGATAGTTCAAGAGGATGTCAGCAGATCCAGTGACTGCTCAAAGTATACTCAGGAAAAGGATTGGACTTTGGATTCATTTTTATTATGAACAGCTAAATCTGCTTTATGTATTGTTCTTCTATATGACATTTCATTATCCAGTGTTTCCCAACCTATATGAACCACAAAGAATAAACTGTATTATTTCAGATATTCAAAGTAATGCAAAAGTAAACATAGCCCATTTTATCATCTAACAGCCACAAATGTTTTTTTGTGATTAAACCAGCAACATTAGTGCAGAACTGTTAAGAAAGAAAATAATGCTTGGCTTTCAATTTGGTTTAAATCTAAATGCTTATTTGACAAGCACATTTAGGCCTGACTTTGACTGATGAGCCATTCTAACACATCATCATGTTTTGATCTAAAACATTATTATTGCTCCGTTTATATGTTTAGAGGTATTGTGATGCTGGAAGGTGAACCTTCTTCTAATAATGGCAGGTTTTTACCTTTTATTTAGCCTGGTAAAAAAAAACAAAAAAACAACAAAAAACATCACCTTGTTCTACGCTGTTTGCTTCGTACAAAGGGGTCCGACCTCGTTCAGCTATTGAGAAACTATTGCTTCCTGGAAATGTGGACTCTGTAGAAGTTTTAAATGTTACTCAATCACTTACCGGAAATTACCTGTGCTGTAAAAAACCATCCTACATTAAAAATAAGAGAAGTGTTGAGCCAAATGAGGCGGCTATTGATGTTACTTCAATATTTGGAAGAGTGGCTAACATGGACTGAACAGTATTGCTTAATTCCTCTGCTAACCAATGGTGAAACTACAGGCAGACTACAGCACAGAAAATCAATGTCATCGTTTAGAACTTCTTCTGTTTGCTGATTGGTCCACTAGAAATTCTACTTGAGACAATCCTTGTAAATGGGAGAAAGCCCAGACTGTCTGTGGAGCGAGTTTTTAATCCAGTAGAATACCAAAGGATGTCAATGGTCAGGGTACCTATTATATTTTCCTATCAGTTTTAGCTAACTTCTATGTCTCTGCTTAAGTGTTTCCACAAGATGATGGTGCTACAACCATGATTCACAGTGGAGTGTTAAGGGTTATTTGCAGTTTTATTTTTGGAAAACACATAAGGTTTGCAAACAGGTCAAAAATTTCAATTTTGATCTCATCTGACAAGAGCAGTTTAACCAGTAAGATATCATTCTAACAATTGTGTCTGTAACTTGTTTAATATGTAGTTTGGTATACTCTTCAAGACAACAAATTCATAAGGGTGTATCAATAAGACAAAATTGAAAACTATATTGTTAACTGAGAACAAGAACTCTGTTGTAACCAAAATGTTTGTTCATGTTTATAGATGGACTTAATTTATATAGAACTTTTTTCGTTATACTGACCACGTAAAGTGGCTTACACAAGGGCCACATTCACTCAATCACACACCTGTTAAAGTTTGCACACGTACACAGGTCGTTTGGCAACTTAGAGTTAGGTGCTTTGCACAGGGAGCCACGGTCTCTGTCAGCAGAGTTAAGGAGGCCCGTGCTTTGTCCTGAAATTCTTCTTCCTTGTTTTAAATTAACTCCTCAATGTCAAGCAAGCTGCCTTTTCCTGCCTCATTACTAAAGTTTCTACCTCCACACGCGCTCTCTTCCACACAATTACTGTGTCCTGTGGCAAGCTGTAATGGGACCTTCTGGCTTTCTATCACCAGTGGCTTTCTCTTCCAATCTCCATCAGAGCCATATTTGTGGAATACCATATGAATGATTGTTCTGTCAAATGATTCTTCCACCAGAGCTTTCAATATATTTACCTCCCCTAGCTTTAGCAATGAGTCTCTTATCTACTTTTGGGTAAATTCTCTCCCTAATCTGTGCGTCTGTTTTAGTAAACAGTGAGGTGCTCAAAACTTGAGATTTTGTCTCAAAAGCTAACCCCGCTGTTAACATCTCCAAGAACCTTATCGCTTACCTATAAGTGTGTTAGTCTTCAAGAGCCTGGCTGATACATAAAACTCTGTAACAAAACTGAGATTACATTTTTACACAGTACTAGATAGGCAATTATGAAGATAATTAATTTTCCTGAATCTTAATTCAGAATAGCAGACAGAAGGGGGTGAATACATTTGCAGGCTGAACTATTTAGAAATTTTATTGGTAAAAGAAAAAAAAAAGAAAGAAAAAATGCCATGTATGATTCCAAAATGTGAACAACTTCAAAGTGTATAACAATTTTGTTTTGTCAATAGAACAATTCACACACACACACAGAATAAACTTCACATATTTTTTAGACTTTTCTGCCACCATGTTATATTCAGTTTGTGCAGCAAACACCTTAGACAAGAAGCTGATCAATTGACTTACACAACAGCAGAGCTACGAGGAAACAGACAAGTGTTATCACCCTTGGTAAACGTGTTAGCAGCGGGGGTTCATATAATGCATGTCTGGACAGGAATATGGCAGCAGGGGTCCAGAGCTAAACAGAGCTTTCCCAGTTAACTGAGCTTCAGTCACAAGAGATAGTTTCTGCCCACCCCCTCTGCCCACCATTCCACAGAGGCCTTGGGTTGTCACAGAGCCCCACTGTGCTGTCTCGGAGACCTGTTTTCACACACAGGGGGTATAACACCGCGCCAGTAAGTATGGGTGGGTGGGTGTACTTGAAATGCCATTATCCATTACTATCAAACCACGAAGCCTTTACCAGTGGCAAATGAACACAAAAGTAGATCGAAACGCAACGTGAGACCAGTTGCTTGTGGATTAAAAGCTCTATGCCAAATTATTTTCATTATCATTAAGCTGAAAAGACAACGATTTTGCTAGAAATGCGGATAAATCTTCGCCGCTTACCTTCTTCCATGGTGCGCGCCGTCATGGATTCGCTGTCCGCCCCCTGGAACTCATTGAAGTACGGTCGCACCTTGATCTCATAGACGATGCCTTTGTTCAGACCAGCGAGTGTGACGTCCCTCTCCGAGGCAATCCTCACGTCCTGGATCTGCCAGGGCCCGGGGGAGGGCAGCCCAGAGGTTTGTCGGTACAGAACCCGATAGCCTTGAATAAACTGGGATGGGTTTTCCACCTTTAGGCAGGGATAGACGGGAATCGACAGTCATCCGAATGCTTAGTTACTTAGAAACAGAGACAAAAACTTATAAATTATGTGCATGCATTTGCTTTTTTTTTT